TATGATCACTCGAGCAGAGTTAAGCAAGGGTTAAAAGCCAAAAAATTCCTTATGTAGATGAGGCATATGGTTCTCGCCCCCTCCTGTAGAGAGCACTTTTTAAAGAGGCTTTTTAAAACAGTTAAGCAGAGTCATCCATTGGAGACTGGCAGCAGCTAACCCAGCCTGACCTCAGCAGTTCTTACCTTTTTCCTTTTATATTTTTATCATGGCAGACAAGCAGAGTTGAAATCCTCTGTGAAACAGCTGAAAAAGGTATGTGGGTCAGAGGGAGGAGGAGGAATTCAAAATTATTGTAATTTGTAATTAATTGTATTATTGTAAGTAATTTGTGTGTGTGTTTTACCCACCTCTGCTGGTGCAAGGGCTGGCACTTTTTTTTTGTTTCGACAACCCAAAACTGTTAAAGCGAGGAGGCTGACCATTAAGCAGGCATGTTTATAATCATTTTCCGTTTCCTATCTAAGGGGAACCACTTTAAGTGCGGGGTGTCTTCATTAATATAACCTGCCCCTTTCTCCCAATGTTGTTTTGTAGGAGAAGGGAGAAAGATGGGTTCTCCCTTGGTGTGGTATATCGGACACAGCGGTAGGGCTTCGGCGGGGCTTTCGGAAAGCCCCACCAAAGCGCCAGCGCTGTGTCCGACATAGGGCGGTTTTTGCCCCCTTGCCTCACCAGCCATAAACCTCACTGCACGTCACTGGATTCCACAAGGGACAAAAGTATGGGCTACATTAGTCTTTCTCAGCAGGTTGGGGTGTTTCTTGAAAGTTGCAGATGTATTCAAAGAAATTCAGAATACTCTGTTGTGTAGTTCCTAAAAAAGCAAGTTCTCTGATACAGAATAAAGAATCTTAGTCAAGAAGGAAAACAGACTGCCTGTTAAAATGCCATTTTAAATTAGTGATGAAGCCTAAAATGGGAGGCAAAGGATCACAAATAGTTTAACTTCCTGTGAATCAAATTGCTTTCTTAGGCTTTACCTCAGTTTTCTCCTCTCTTCTAGGCATTTTCTCAAGGGGTTTTTCTTGCTAGGGGAGGGGAGATGGTGGTTGCTGGTTGTATAGGACATCTATGGGGTGATGTTCAAAGTTTTCCAGAGGAACCACTGTACCCAAGGCAGTATATTAATAATTACAGAGAACAAAGGAGAAAAAAACAATTCTTTATATCTAAAATTATTACTATTCCTGGATCCTTGTGTTTGGGAGAGCTTTTGCTCTCTGACGGGGGACTGTGAGAGGTAGTGTAGGGAATCAACCAGAGAGATTTATATAGAAGGAGCATCTCTCACTTCCCAAATGAAAGGTTGCCCAGAGATGGAGCGTATGTTTATAACTTACTTGACAGGGATTTCTGTTCTCCGAAACAAACAATGCATTGTTAAGCTATCAGCATTGATAAGGAAACCAAGTTGTTTATATGAAACAAAATGAAGCTACATGAAAAAGCTTTTTGGAGGGAAGGATTGCATATGCGCACTAAGAAGATACCAGGAAGGAAGCAGCTTTGGACACTGCAACCCACACATCTGCCTTCCTTGGCTTCTTGCCTACCAGCTGTGTTGGGACAGATGTGTTTGAGGGAAGACAGAAAGGCCGAGATGCCAGTGGCTTCTTCCAGGAAAAGGAGGCAGAGGGGTGTAGACCAACCCTGCTGAGAGATACATTGAAATACAGCACCATTGAGTGGCTGAATTAAATTTGCGAGGGAGATATAGGAATGTACACTGAATACAATTGAACTCACATCCCTGGCACAATTTGCAAGAGTTGCAGCTGTTCAAAGAAAAGATGTGATGATGCAAAACAATTTTTAAATAATTGGTGATGTGATGCCAGTTAAACTATTGAGGCAAGAGAGAATAGGAAAAACACTGAACAAACCATAAGAATAAAGAAAATAGTAAAATGGTCCTTCTACAGAGCAAATGTAAAGCTGAATAGTAACCATTGTTATTGTTTTTGCAGTTGTGGGGCTGCCCTACCTCGCAGGGGTGATTATTGGGGAAACAATGAAACCATGAGGGTCTCCTGCAAAGGAAGAGATATACCTGGGGGGAGAAGGGCGCTTTTGATAGCTCT